GTAGCCATCCTGTTTCTGTACAACAGTGAGTGCCCGTGGTGGGTAGGGTAAGGGGGGTCAGGGGAAATGGGGTTGGGCTGGGAGGAAGAGGCAGTGGGGGAAGGAAGCATGTGGGATAGGGCAGGGGACAGTGGGGAGAGGAAAGGGGGAGGGATGGGGAAGAGAAGGGGATAGGTGAATCAGGGGAGGGGAGCAGGAGCCCGGCATCCCCTTGGCAGCAGCGGGGGCTCCCCTGTTAAGCAGGCCCATCAACCCCCACCCCAATGATCCCCACCCCTCCTGCACCTGGACCACCCTAATGAGACCCCCGCATGTGGACCCACATCCCACTGAGCCCCAACCAGCTGCACCAGGACCCATACCTCCCTCAGCACCTGGACCCCACACTGAGCCCCAACCACCTTCATCTAGACCCCATTGTAGAGTCCCATTGCCCCTGCACCCAGAATCCCCCAATGATCCCCTGTGCATCCATTTTCCCCCAATGAGCTCCCCGCACCCAGATTGCCCCACACAGAACCCTCTTACCCCATACCTGGAGCCCCCTACACTCAGCCCCTCCACATTTGGATCCTGCTGGGATGAGCCTGCCTGCCCACACCTGGTGCAGACAGGCGGGCCCCGGGGTGTTCTGAGGCAGGCTCAGCCCTTGCAGTGTGTCTCGGTCAGGGCAGCCTCACCGTCGAGTCCCTGATCTCCCACCTCCGTGCAGGGGCGGTGACGCAGGGTGATCTCCCACCTCCATGCAGCCAGTGGCCTGTGCTCCCCACTGCCACGTTGGAGCCTCCATATTTTACTGCTGGGGGCATTCTGTGCCAAAAAATATTTAAAATTCAGCACCAAAAAAGTAAAAATTTTGCAAAATTCTGCACATTGTATTTGTCAAAATAACACTACATAATCACACCAATTTCAATTATTTTGATAATTTATTTCAAAATACTTGTCAGGAAGTATGTCTGTAACAATACAGACACACAAAATTTCCCCCCCAGGAGTAAAGAGTTAAAGAACTCCCTATGACAACCCTGTTCCTGTTTCTCTGCCCCCTTTCCCAATCCAGAGTCCAGCCAGGAGGCAAGACACCTACAACCCATTCCCCCCCAAGCCCAGCCATGCCCCCCAGTCTAGATACCTGCACTCCCTCCCCTCCAGAGCCCAGCCATGGGTCCCCCCGGCCCAGATACCTGCATCCCCTTCCTCCCAGAGTCCAGCCATGGGCCCCTCCCGGTTCAGACACCCACCCCTCTCCCCCCAGAGCCCAGGGATCCAGAGGGAGAAACAGCCTGATGCTCGGTCCCACAGGCTTGCATGGAGTTTTCTGTGTGCCACCCTCTCCTTCCCTCAGGGCATGCTGGGAACTGCAGCTGCCAGGAACCCTCTAGCGCCCTCCCCTCCCCCCCCAGCAGTGTCTTGTGTGTGTGAGATGGGCTCTGCCGAGTCCAGCAGACCCTAGTTGCGGCTAGCAGCACTGTAGCCCATTTCTGTGGGGAAAAGGAAGTTCTGCACACACATTAATTTCTGCAAAATTCTACATTGTGCAGTGGCACAAAATTCCCCCAGGAGTAATGACATTTATTTATTGACAAATAAAATTTGCAGAATTTTATAATATTGTGTGCAGAATTTTTATTTTTTTGGTGTAGAATTCCCTCAAGAGTAGAGTGTCTACTCTTTGGTCAGATGCACCTTTTCCCAGCAGCTCTCCCTCAGCTGCTTTCTATGTCTTACCAGCCTGGAGAAAGCCCTTCTCTCCTCTGCCAGCTGAGTCATTTGCATTCTCACAGACAACTGCTGCCTGGAAGTTTCCTGGATACAACTCCTTGGCTAACACAGGCATGGTAGCTGCATCTTGATTTAAAGAGACACAGTTATTTAACACAAGCATATCAGGACCAACGTCCTGGAAAACTGGGACCTGGGTTGGGGTACCCTCTGTCACCCTTTTCTCTATCCCCAAGAGGTAGGCTGTGTGACTGCTTCCCTCCAAAAGGTCAGTTACTCAGTTCCCTCTCTGAACCTGAGTCTCAGGATGCATGCCTGTGTCCACTCTGTCCTGGGCATCCTCTCCCAAGTGACCAGTGAGGAGACATTCTCCCACTATTCTTTCCCCAGTTTCCTTCTTTGGGCCCCCTTCTAGGACACTCTCTCTGTGCTCTCTAGAGTGGGATCTATCCCTTGTTCAGCTGCAATGTGCTGGCAGCTAACACCCTGGACAGTTTTCTCAATGACAGACACTCCACCTTCCTCCCTTCCTGAGGAGGTGTTGCCTTCAGCAGCAGTGCAGAGCTGGTCTCAATCTCCTCCACATTTGGAAGCATGCTGCTTCCACCTGCTGCAGAGTAATCAAAGAGATTTTCTCCCTTTCCTTCAGCAGTTCCTGGGACTTTACTCTTTCCCTCTGGGGTCCCAGCATAATGTTTCTTCTTGCTGCGGGCAAACACCTTAACAGCCTGACAGGGCCGGCTCTGGCTTTTTTGCTGCCCCAGGCAAAAAAGCCTCCGGCCGCCCCCCCCCCAGCGCGGCAGGGATGGGCGCAGGGGGGAGGGCGGCCGGAGCCCCGGGGGGAGGGCGGTGAGCCCCAGCCGGGGCTCCGCTCTCCCCGGCGGCCAGGGGGGCGGCGCTGGGGGGGGGAGGGCGGCTGGAGCCCTGGGAGGAGGGCGGAGTGCCCGGCCGGGGCTCTGCTCTCCCCGGCAGCGAGCCCCGGCCGGGGCTCCGCTCTCCCCGGCGGCCGGAGCACCGCGCCGCCCCCCTCCAGGTGCCACCCCAAGCACAAGCTTGGTGGGCTGGTGCCTGGAGCCGGCCCTGCAGCCTGAGCTATATGGAAAAAATCATTCCCACTAAGTATGTCAACCGAGAGACCTTCCATTACTCCCACAGTCAAAACACTTTCCAAATCTTCCCACGCCAATTAATTCTAGCTAGTGGCACAGGGAATCTGGTTCCACCCACATCTACAATTTCTGCCATTTAACCAGGTAATATGTTGGCATTTGGTGCTACACTCTGATTAACCAGAGAAATCTGTGCCCCTGTATGCTTCCACCCTAAGTATTCCCTGTCATTAATTCTGACAATGTTAATGTGCTCCATGTCTGATTGTGCAGAGGCTAGTCTCACAAAACCAATATGATAAGTCTCAGGTGCCTGAGAGATTCCTGTGGTGAGGACAGCAGCATTAACTATTTGTTGTCTGCTTCCTCCCAGCACAGGGCATTTATTTCTCAGGTGAGCAGTGGAATTACAGTGATAGCACCTTTTGGGCTCTTCTGGTTTCACAGGAAAGTTGAGATAGGGATTAGAGGAATGATTCTGGGGAGGTGAGTGCCCAACCTCCCAGCCACCCTCCTTTTTTCCAGGGGTAAAACAGGAACACTGCTTCCCACCAAGTTTTATCCCCTCTTTCTGTGGTTTTCTCTCAATAGATGCCTGGGTCTTCTCAAAGACATCAGCTAGAGATGCCATCTTATCCACAGTTTTCACATTTTTGTCCCATAGACACTGTTTCACTTCATCTTTACATATGCTTAGGAAGTGCTCCTGAGCAACAAGGTCAAATATTTCTTCAAAGCTTTCAACCCCTTTTCCCCTCACCCATTTTCCCATTAGATCTTTCATGCTGTTTACATATTCCCCATTACTCATACCAGCATTTATCTTAAGATTCCTAAATTTTACCGTATATGTTCCAGGGGTAATCTGAAATAATTTCAAAACTGTTTCTTTGAATTTACAATAATCTAAAGCATCCTGAACTTGCACTTCATTGAATATATTCAGAGCTTTACCAGTTAACTTTGCAAGCAAAGAAGGGATTTTCTTGTCCTCGGGAATCTCATTAATCACACACAGCCTCTCAAAGGTAGTACAATATTCTGTAACATCGTCTGTCTCTTTGTATCCAGGACACAATTGTTCCCGTTTGTGGATTTTTGGAGAGGTGGAAATCAGTGGTGAGGGAGGCTTCTGGTTCTCTAGCAAGGCCAATTGGTGTCTCCGCTGTTTTACCTTTTCCTCAGCTGCTTTGGCTTGCAGTTCTAAGGCCCGCTGATGTGCTAACTCCTCTGCTTGATTCTGAGCCCCTATTTCCAGTTCCTTTAGCTCCAAGATTCGCTGATGTACTTTCTCTCTCCTGCTACCTGCAGTCTGAACAGCTCTAACTGTGCAACCTGGATTGTGGGACTGCTGAGCCCAACAAACCCACCAGCCTGGGTTGTCTCTCTCAGTGTGATGTTAATATTAAACTACAAGCCTCTGTCAGGCAATGCACTTACACAGCCATCCACAGGCCGGGACACATCTAGTTGAGTTACATGAATGATCTCCCAGCCAGTCATGAACCAGCAATAGAGAGGCCCCAGTCAATTCCCCCCAGCTCCCCAGCCTTGCATCCAAACTGTACTATCTTGCACTAGTCAGAAGCCTGACCAGCATAAGCTCATTACCTTATTCACCACTCCCTCAGTGGGAATGGATTTACACTAGCCTTCGTAGTCTGAGCTGAGATTTCCCAAGCACTTCATCCAAAACCACACTGTTTTAGGTAAAATATAAAATCAATTTATTAAATACAGAAGGATAGATTTTAAGTGATTATAAGTAGCAGGCATAGAGATCAGAGTGAGTAGTCCAACAGATTGACCTGCAAAAGTGTGTATGGCTGTTCCAGGGTTAGCTAGTTAAATTATATGTACACCTCTACCCTGATATAACGCGACCCGATATAACACGAATTTGGATATAACGCGGTAAAGCAGTGCTCCGGGGGGGGCAGGGCTGCGCACTCCGGCGGATCAAAGCAAGTTCGATATAACACGGTTTCACCTATAACACGGTAAGATTTTTTGGCTCCCGAGGACAGCGTTATATCGGGGTAGAGGTGTATATAACCAATGAATATATCATATCCAGACATTAACCTATTACTCTATTATGAAATACTGATTTGATTTAAAGTGTGAATATATTGAAATAACCAGGTATATTTAATTCTATTTCAGATCATTCTAGATGGATCCGCAGACAGCCTGTTGTTTGCTCATGACAACTACCTATGATTACAGCAATACAGTTGGTAGTTCATCTTGCTGAAAATTGTAAACCAGCTCAGCAATCCTTGGAGTAAGGAAATCCTATGCATTCACATTCTATGATTTTCAAGCAAAGATTAACTTTCAGGACAACATAAGCTTAATACAGCAGAAATGGACTTCAGAAGCACTTTAAGGATTCCAATCTTCATTCCTTGCGCTGGAATGGGAATGACGGGGTGGCCTCCAGTATTCAAGAAACATTACAAAGCCTTCAGATTTGGAATTAATCATATATAGAGACATTAATAACGTGATGGATTTTATATCTAATCAAGGTTCATTCATCATATTGATGGAGAGAATTGTTTAACCATCAAATAGTGATATTTCTAAAAGACGATATATTTATTGTTTGTTTCAGTTATGTAATGTCTGTCCATAAAAAGATGCATATTATGAAAACTTTAAACATCATTTTATTGGAAAGAGCCATTGTAATTGTTTGGTAACATTCAAGGTCCTATGCTGCAGTCTGTATTCATGCAGAACTCCTTGTGAATGGGAGTTTCATATGAATGAAGTCTACGGAAACTAACCTTTAATTAAATAAGATCTTTGTTTTGAAAATATCTCATATTGTTGATTGGAGTTAGGATATCTTTTTTTTTAAATGGTAAGAGACAGGGGTCTGATTCTGCTCCCACTACAGTAAGTGAGAGTTTTGTCACCAACTACAGTTGGATCAGGATCAGGCCTCAAGTTTTAGGAAGCATCTGAAAATTCAACTGTAATATTTTGGGGCACATCTGTTTGCACACATGAAAACTCCATTTGCCTATACAAAATAAGTAATTGCACAGATAATTGCCTGTTTGTCATGTGCAAATTGATGCACATACAATATTTCTGGAACCTGCTACAACTTTTGCCTTAAATCGGTGAGTTAAACTACAGTTAAATATAATAACTTTAATATTAAGTATTGGTATTCCTGAACACTGTTTCCTTTGATGATGGACGTCTACCAGCCATCCTAATACATACAATAATCCAACCAGTATTAAAGGTAGCGACCCTACCAACTACTGCCCATTGTCTAACCTCTTTTCTAACTAAGCTGATTGAAAAACTAGAAGAATACTGGATCCCTCTCAGGCCACTGCATGTTAAAAAGACAGCATTTGATGCATACGTGCTCTCTGCTCTTCTTGCCAACAGAGAAAGGAAATACCCATATTCATCTTTCTGAACCTCACTACAGCATTTAATACCATTGATTATATCATATTTGTTTCCTACCACCAACGGCTGCAGATGAAGAAAATGCCCTGAAATGGCTTAAGTCTCTTCTTTTAGACTAAACCCCGAGGTTTATTATGGCTTCTCCATCTCAAAAGATGTCACCTGCAGAGTCCACCCAAGGCTCAGTCCTCCTGTTTCATTAAACATCTATATGAAGTTGTTGGGAGAATTTGTGAAACATGGGTTTAGGTGCCAGCACACCATGAACATTCAGCTCCACAACATTTATTTTAAAATCCTAAACAGCACCATCTCCCAGAATTCTCAATACCTCACCAAAATTAGCACCTGCATGAAGAGCAGTTGGCTAAAACTGAATCTGGGCAAGACTCAGTTGATGCTAATAGGAAAAGGGAAATGCCACTGTAAGAGCATCTGCTCTCAAATTAAGATAGGCCACTGCTTTGGGATCCTTTTGGATCCAATTTTATTGATGTCAAATAGCCATAAAAACAAAAAATGCTCTCTTATCTGTGACTGACTGTAACCCTGCTGATCAGTTTCACACCTGTCAATGGAGATCCCTGCATTACTGACTTCCAAATTTTATTATTGCAACTCATATCTAGGAAGAAAGCTACACATTCTGAAAAAAATTCAACTGTTATAAAAGGCAGCAGCCCATGTACTTAGCAACAGGTCATGGAAGAATGTTGGCCAGGCACTCCACTCTCTGAACTGGTTTTCTGTTGAAGGCAGAGTTTGATTCAAGACTATCCTGATAGTCAAAACTCCCCCCAGAACAATAGCTAGCTATCTCAAAGATTTGCAGCCATGACTTCCCACAACAACTATGTTCTTTTACAATCACAAAACAGTCAACAAAGGAAAGCTCAGGAGTAGATACAGAACTTTCATAGAAGCTGGCCCAAGACACGTTCCCAGAAGATGCAGTGAAGTTTGTGATCATTCAGAATTAAATGAATAACCTCTCTTGTGAGTTTGCTTTCTGCCCCCTGAAAGTCTACACACCCACATGCACACACACACTTAATAACTAATTGAGCTATATCTCCTTTGAACTGGGAAGGAAGACAGAGGTGTTGTTTCTATTTTTAACTACTTTGGAGGTGTTCAGATATAATGGTGATAGGGGCCATATAAATACATAGGTAGAATTAAAAACATATTCATGGTGTAAGTTTTTAATTGACATCTTTTTACATTAAATTATTTGTGCTATTTTAGTATTGTTGCAATACATAGCTTTTAAAAGTAACATATATTACTATGAAATACTTTAACTCAGTATTGAGAAAGTATTTGAGTTTATTGCAGCATATAATAAAACAATATTATAGCCAAACAATTTACAGATAACTTGCATTTTCAGTCTAATTAGATGTCTTCTTCTGTGTCCCAACTATAGCTCTAAATAAAAATAAATAATTTTTTTAAAAAAGAAAAGCTGTCCCTTTTATTTTTTTATTCAGGGTCAATAGGGGCCAATTTATTTCAATTGTGAAAAAAGTCAGTGTATAGCTTGTGCGGACAAAACTCCCATTGAAGCCAATGAAAGATTTGAACATACAAGGAATGCAGAATCAGACCCTTAATCGTGAACTCAGCTTCCAGCTTCTTTTGAAACTAACAATGTAACTAACATTTCCTGGAAAAAGAACAAATATCTGAGTAGTCAACTTTAAAGATTATCTGATAGATTGATAGGCAATCTGATAAAAATTGTTTGATGGACAGTGTGGCCCAAGTGATTAGTAATGGAATTTAGAGACTTTCACCTTCAAGTCAGCAGGCTAAATCCTTACCTCAATCTTGTTACCATTTTATATCTTTCAGTGACCTATTTAAAATGAGTTTATAGTTCAGCACACTTCCTAGTGAACAGGAGTCCACATCACCAAACCACCATTGCATTAGTCACTAATTTTTCACTGCTACTGGCAATCTATGCAGAATGGCCAAGGACTGAAAACGTATGGGGACTGAATCCTACTTCCCCTTGAGGTAGTTTTTCTGTGACTTAAAATTGAGGCATATTGGCAGGGAAGTTTGGGAAAGTTTGGACTGCTACTCCCTCTCCTGTACCAGTTCTTTTGCTAAAAATGCAGACTTCAGAGCTATGTTATCTTTCACAAACACTACAGTCACTTGAAAAATTAACTAACTATTTCAATGTATCTATGTTACTTTTAAATTTGTAGTCAGTTAAGTTAATCGACCTTCATGCTGAAGACGTTTCCCTTGTATAAGCATAGATTGCCAAGGAGAGAAAACAGACCTGGGCTCTGAAGAAGTTAATTAAACTAAAATAAGACTTGCTCCAGAGGAAATCTGGACTTGCCGTCTCTCGGAGGGCTTCACGCTCTCAATATTTTTTTTTCTTCATATTAAAGTTTTGGCCTTCTGCATGCTCTTTGTTTTATGACTAACCAACCTTCTTTGGAATCTGTGAAGTAAACTCTGTGGGCCAATTTCTGCCCCGATTTTCAACTCATGTAGCCACACTGACTTCACTGGAATTGCATGTAATGTAAATCAGGGCAGAATTTGGCTGAAAGAATTCAATTCCTATCTATGGCAATTAGTGGGGACAGAGCATAGGACGCTGCTTTCTAGACAGGGGTTTCTAATGTGAGGCTGGAGCTCCTTCAAGATTATTATGGTAGTAAATTGAAAAATGTCTGTGGTTTGAATGACCTTGAATACTGCAGTAATAGAAATAGGATGAAATTTAATAGTGCAGGGTGCAATATCATGCACGTAGGGATTAAACAAGAATTTTTGCTATAAGCTTGAGATGTTTTAGTTGGAAATGACAGAGGGGGAGAAAGACCTGGGTGTATTGGTCAATCACAAGATGACTACAAGCCGCCAATGTTATGTGGCTGTGAAAAAGGCTAATGCAATCCTAGGATGGATCAGATGAGGTATTTCCTGTAGAGATGGGGAAGTGTTATTACCATTATACAAGGCACTGGTGCGACTTCATTTGGAATACTGTGTACAGTTCTGGTCCCCCTTGTTTAAGAAAATGAATTGAAACTGGAACAGGTGTAGAGAAGGGCTACTAGGATGATCAGAGGAATGAAGAACCAACCTTATGAGAGGAGACATAAGGAACTTGGCTTGTTTAGCTTAAACAAATGAAGGCTGAGGAGAGAGATGACTGTTCTCTATAGATACATCAGAGGAATAAACACCAGGGAAGGAGATGAGCTATTTAAAGTAATGTTGACACAAGAATAAATGGATATAAACTGGATGTCAATAAGTTTAGGCTTGAAATTAGACAGAAGTTTCTAACCATCAGAGGAGTGAAGTTTGGGAACAGCCTTCCAAGCGGAATAGTGAAGGCAAAAAAAAAACTAACTAACTAACTAACTAACTAACACAGGGACAGAGAATTTGATGTCCACTGTTTCACAGCTTCCCTCCTTTCACTTATATAAATGTAGTTATTATTTTTCCTTTTCTTTCTCTAGTTATTTAGTTTATTATTTTCCTATTTTTCAGACAGTTGTGCTTCAAAAAGAGGGGTTCCCTGCCAATGTTTCTTCTGCTGGACCTTTGGTTTAGCTCTCAGGCACCCCAGGTTACACTGAAGACCTTGGTATTTAATCCCCAACAGACCTGCAGAGTCCTTTCCCCATAGTGACAGCAATTCTAGCTGCTTCCAGTGTTTCAGAGACACCCATGTCTCGTGAAAATACAAAGTCTGCAAGGGGTCCAAAGGCAGGTCTTGAAGGGACAGAGAGGCTAGGTTGAAGCTCCTTGTGACAGAATGTATCAACCCTGCACTGGGCAAACGGGGGCTGACCATGCCCCCTTGCTCCTGCTGTGCATGCTCCAGGTGAAGGAGACTAATAAAAGGAGGCAGCCCCACTCAGTTGGGGCTGGCGGAGGAGGGGGAAGGACATTAGTTGCAGGCTTCTGCCAAGGAACCATCAACTCTCCAGGCTGTAGAGACCATGGACCCAGACTACGCTGTGGACAACCAGCCAACCACAGAGACTGACTGGGATGCCGAGCCGCTGCCAGCTGAGGAGATGCCCAAGATGGGCTTTTTGGTAGAAAGTGACCCAGGGCATGTGTTAGGAGCCGATGCCTGAACTGGGGCCCTAGAGTGAGTATTTGCCTTGCTTTGCCCCACCCTAGGAGCTATGGTCTGCTTGGATGCTCTGCCCTGTTAGGGGTCCTGAGATACCCTGATTGTGATTGTTTGACCCAACAAGGAATTCGGATAACCATGTGGCAAGGAGTATCAACCCTGCACTGGACAAACTGGGGTGCGCTGCTCAACAGAGGCAGAGGC